TGAGCGAATTCAGGAGTTGGTTGAGCTGCAGCGTACTGATGATACGATGACCTGAGGAACCAACCCTGTCAACTTTCTATATCGTTATTCTTTCTCAGTGTGTGTTTTCCAGCTGCATTATTCAATTATCACAACTTGCAGTGTTTGAGACTTGGTGGGTGAGGAAAGACAGTGATGAGGTAGATCTTCACATCCTTAAGAAAGAGTCGATTTCCATCTAAACACTTTAAAGGCAGGAAGGGATTCTTTCATGGAAAAACACTTTTTAAGGGTCTAATCAACAACCGGAGAGTGTGTCTCCATTTATAATATGCGTCTCTGCAGCGTTTAATAAATCCAGCTCCACTCGACGCGCTTTAGACCGCTTTCCTTTCAAAAGGTGATGAATGGGCCCAGTCAGCCTCGCTCCACCGCTGATCACGGTTCGTGTTAATCTTTACAGAGCTGGAGTTCCTGACCTTTCCCCGGCAGACGTAGCCCGTCTACATAGCTCTGTCAGCTGATCTCAGGCACCTCTTCATCAACAAACGCGTTGAAACAGGATTATGGAGTACATTATGTTCCTATTAATTGTATAACAGCGGATGTTAGCGATTTATCTATTGCTTTCAGTTGTTTAGCCACAATACGACTAATTATTCTAGCAGTTTATTCATTATTTTAAGCTGTTTCAGTTGCTTATCTGCTACTCAAAGCCCTATTATCCGTTTATTCATTAGCTTTTTATCAGTTAGCTATACTCACTTGCAAGCTGCTTTTCTTGTGTGTTTAATCCGACCATTTTGTGTGCGTTTCAACTCTTATTAATCTATTTATCTGCTTTAACCTCAGTCTTTCCAAGTCCGTCCTGGCCCCCCCTGGCTAGAAACTACTCCTCTAAAGTGTTACTGCTTTAATTTTTAATGCTAAATAATAATAAAAACCGGCTGTTCACTATCGCTGTTTTAGTTCAGTCCGCTTCATGAGTGACGGGAGTTTGCAGCCCCCAAGTTGTGAATGTTAGTCGTGCTGTTTTACTGCATTTGCATTTCAGATTGTGATCACGGTGTTGCTTCAGGGTTTTTCTTTCACTTTGATCACATGTTCTTGGCGGTAACTTTGTGCAGAAAATTAAAAAACTAAAAACCATACCAAAGATGCCTGTTTGATGACCACAGGCTTTTAAATTAAAGGATATGTTTAGAAAGCACATCTGACTCTTTAGATCTGCTGCTTTTTTTCTATTTATTGCAAGTTCCCCATTGTCTTTTGTGCCGTGTGTGTGTGTGTGTTTGTGTGCGTGCTATTGTCTACGGCTGCATTAAAAATCGTAGCCAGACTAATGAATTTTATTACTTGGAAGGGTGATCCAGATGACTGGGGTTTGGTTATAATACTTCCCTCCCGTCACGTCTGTCTGACATAGCGGCTCTCTCGCATCGCACCCCAGACAGGCATTTGGCATCGACTCAAAATGTCCAGACGTCTTACTCACAGCCCCATTGTTTCATATCCCTTTTGGTAAGCGGCATGATAATTACGGTGGGATGCAGTTCTGCGAATCGTACAGATGATTAGTTTTCGACCGAAGGAGGGGAGCCCACCCGAGCAGATGTGCCACGGCAGGTTCACATGCGGAGGTTTGATCGCAGCCGCGGCCCCAGGAAGCAGTTTGACTTTTATCTAGACACGTCTCTCCTTCTCTATAAGTCTTTGGCTCTCTGTTTGCAGTGTAATTACAAGATCATGTCTGTTAGTTGCGTAATGGGCAAAGCAGTCGATCCTGTTGCATTATTTTTTTTGCCACTGACTCTACAGATGGCAGCGTCACATCGTTGGTTCGCTACGGAGGCACGCTGCATTCACAAAAATACAAAATTACGACTTCCATATTTCATTATTATGACTTGATGTCTCGTAATTATGAAACGCAGAGCTCCTAATTGCAAGAAAAGCTCTTGCAGTCACGAAATAAGACCTCATAACAACAAGATCCTGATCTCATCTCAATCGTGAGACAGTTTTCTGGTGATTTTATGGTGGAAATGGGGGACGGCGTTGCCAGACTTTGGAGCCTCTTTGCTCGATTGATCAGGATGGGTCGCTGTGTTTGAGTTTTGTCTCCTCGTACGTGTAGCCGACAGAATTTTGAGCCACCGCGAGATTAAAGTTTGAGTATTTGAATGTGTGTTTGGTGCACACATTGCTCAGGATGATCTATGATAAGAATAAGCCTTAACTTTTTATCAAGCGCCACCGTCGAGTGGTCAAATATTTCAACTCCCTGAGCTCGAGGAGCGCTTGGTGTTTGGGTAATGCACCCCAGCACCAAAGGAAAATCCCCAAAATGACGACAATTATGAGTAAATTCATTGAAAAATGTTAATTAGGGTTTCATTTACGAATGCAGAATTGGTTTTTAAACAACAGGAAAACGCACACGCAGCCACTTTGCCTTTTATTGTACGTGGACTGATCTGACCGTCGTGCATCGTTACCCCCCCGAAGGTTTGCTCTGAGCCAGGAAAAATCCTAATTAACGGACATTAACTACCAACACTGCTGAGCCTCAGCGCATTCCTACGGTGCTGCTAGTTAATTGTTGGTAGAGTCACTTCTTACCATGTGATGTTTTTCATTTTCACCACATTTGTGCAATCATTAGCCAACTGCTTCGCACATTTCTGAACTTCTCATCAATAATTCACTCATAAAAATCTAAATAGTTTACTTGGAGGCAAACAACCTTCAAATTATGTAAGTTATATTGCAAACCTCCTCTCATGACAAGCGTGATTGATGAGTGTTTATAGCTCATTGCATTCTTAATTAAACCAGTTTAATCATTTTTCTTTTCATGAAATTGGGAAAGTTGGTCATTTTTCTTGAAGTGTCGTGTAAATGGTAGAAACCAAAAGGAGTCGGACAGCAAAAACCATGTCTGAGAAGCTCTTTTATAGGAATATACAGGCTATATATTGCTTTTTCAGAGTTAAAACTGTGTTGCTGCTGCTATCAAAATACATTTTATGTCTGCGATGTCTTTCTCCCTGCAGTCCTCTGTCCCACTTTTCATGATGTATAGGAGGAGCTGCGGCGAGTATTATTAATGATTTAAAGGATGGCGCTCCGTTTGTGGCGCTTTGTCTCCTCCTCAGACGCTCAGGGTCAGAGTTACACATTCACATGCTGGAAAATCCTCCCCGCCTTCCTCTTCCTCTTCCGCCCGCACGTCCCGACCGTGTCTCGTGACGCGTCCTTGACGAGGAGACTCGGCAGCAGACGGCCGACCCGCGTCTGCCCCCCGTAGACATCCTGAGTCACATTCGTAGTAAAGCGAATTAGCCGCTTCAGTTTGACGAGCAGGAGTCACATGGTGATTCCATTTTAGTTTTTTTTTTTTAATTATTAATTACACCTCCTTCTCTCTCTCTTCCCTCTCAGATACATCGGAAAGTCAGATTCCATCACCATCAGTGTGTGGAACCACAAGAAGATTCACAAGAAGCAAGGGGCCGGGTTCCTGGGCTGTGTCCGCCTTCTGTCCAATGCCATCAACCGCCTTAAAGACACGGGCTGTAAGTGTAAGCTACTCGTCTTTAAACTTTTTTTTTAATCAACTGTAATTATTGTTTTTATGTTTTGTCTGTGTTTATGCTATGGTTAGCACCATAGCCTCACAGCTAGAAGGTCGCCGGTTCACGTCCCGGTGAGGACACCCGGGATCTTTCTGCGTGGAGTCTCCATGTTCTCCCCGTGCAGCGTGGGTTCTCTCCGGGTTCTCCGGTGTTCCTCCCACAGTCCAGAAACATGCTGAGGTTAATTGGTGATTGTAAATTGTCCGTAGGTGTGAATGTGAGTGTGCTTGGTTGTCTGTCTCTAAGTGTAGCCCTGTGATAGACTGGTTACCTGTCCAGGTGAACCTGCCTTCACCCTGAGTCAGCTGGGATAGACTCCAGCCCCCCATGACCCTAGTGAGGATTAAGGTGTAGAGATGATGGATGGATGTTTTTGGACCTTGTGGGAGGAAGCCAGAGAACCCGGACAGAACCCACGCTGCACGGGGAGAACATGGAGACTCCACACAGAAAGATCCCAGGTGTCCTCACCGGCGACCTTCTTGCTGCGATTCAACGATGCTAACCACCGATCCACCTTGCAGCTGATTGAAGATCTTCCCTCTAAATTGATCTTCTGTCTGAGTGCAGACACCAGCTTGCAGTGAGCACTTTCGCCACTTTAAACATGCAACTACTTTAACGTCGTCCTATTAATTATCCTTAATCAATAGCAACAGCTGCCGGCGAATTAAGAGGAAAAAGTCGCCGTCAGCTAAAAATGAGAAGCTGCTAGCTGGATGTTGCGTCGGCTGCTAATGACACACAGAGAGTCAGAGAGCTCTCACTGGTTCACACAGATACTGTATATTAACGAACTGTATAATTTTTTTGAATTAAATGCTGCACTTTAGCGGCCGGCTGTCCTGAAGGAGAGCAGCTTTACAACAGCAGGCTGAGGTGAAGTTAGATGGAACTGATCCATCTTAATACTAATCCTACGGCTCAACTTATGCTGTTTGTTCCATTTTTGTGAGCCACTTATGTGTCATTTGATTTACTCTCTGGTGGATCGGAGGACATTAATGACGTTATTAATTGCGGTTATTAGACTCCGGCAGCCCTAACGAAGCCGCATCCATCAAGGCGGTCTGATGCTCCAAGCAGAGTGGCTTTATTTAGTGTCCTGTCCCACTCACTAGTTCTGACAGAGGCCAGACGAGGGTGTGAGAGGGGTCAGCGCTCTGCCCCCCGCCAGAACAGGAAGAGCCAATCAGCGTCACCCTGCAATTACAGTAAAAACGTCCCATGTCAGAAGCTAACTGAATAAACGAGGCCGAGGCTTTAGCAAATGGCTCCTAGTAAGTCGTGCCAGACAGTCGTCGTAGCTTCGGCCTGGCGTGGGGTTTTTTTTTTTGTCCGTCTGCCTGGTGAGCTGGTACCTGCTCTGTGGGCCCTGCGGTCTTGTCGGCAGATACGGGAAAGAATCCCACCACTTTTCCTAGAAGCCCCTGACACTGTTGTTTTCCTGGAGCGACACAGGAAACCTGAACCTTGTGCCACAGCTGTGAGTGGTTTGCCTCTGCATTTCCTTTCTCTGCTGGCCTTCTCCTCACCCCTCGGTTTCCCTGCAGTCTCCTCCGTAGACTGGCAGCATCTGCACACACACACACACACACACACAAAATGCCATTGTGACTTAACCTCCCTCTATCTCCGTCTGCCGATCTAGACAACCGGTCATTTTACGCAGACATGCATAATTGTACAGCTATTTAAGTGTAAGTGTAGATTTGTAGCGCTCTCTCTGTTGTGGTCTCTCTCCCCTCCTGTGTATTTGTCATTCTTTTGTTTTTTGTGTGCATTTAGCAGCAGCTGCCATTTTGTCCCCTCCGCAAGCTGCAGAGAGAGAGGGCACAGGGTTGACTTCAGCATTTGTGTATAATTGCAGACTGTCTTTGGTTGACTGTAACATTTATGTATAATTGCAGAGTATTTATGTTTCTTGTCTTTGTGTATATGACTGAGCAAGTATTTACGTGTATGCACTTTTATGTGAGAGCTCTTCCCTGCGTCGTACGTTTTACTGTCTCTCTGTGTGTATTTTCTGTTTTCTCTGTGGCTCCTGACCTCCGGCCAGCCTTGTAACGGTTTGACCATTGCCTGTTTTGGTCCCTGTTTAGTCTAGACAGACATCCTGAGCTGATCTGCATGACACCCAGACAACAGAGAGGAGATAGTGGCATTTCTCATGTCTGCAGGCAACTCGGACATTTTTTTGGTCTGTTTTTTTTTTTTTTTTTTTTTTCCTTTCCGCCTGATCTCTCTCTTTCTCCCTCACTCTCAAATTCCACAGACTTTAAGAAGTTCAGACAAAGAGTTTCCAGACTTTGGCTGAAGTTCATGTCCATGCTAAGACTGAGCGGAATAGTGCAGGCTTTGTACTGAAATTTGTCAAATGTTTGACCCCTACATTTGAACTGAAGCCCGCTCTGTACCGATGCTCAGTGAGATTTTTACAGCCCGTGGCTGCTCCACAGACCAGACCATCTGTTCCAGGGCACGGCCAAGCTGTGGTCTGCAGACACAAGAATGAGAGACAGATAATGAGGGAAGAGGAATTGACTCTGAGTGATGTAAATGATACAGAGCGATGGGACTCGTCCAAGAAGGGAGAATGCGCCCGAACTCACGCTAGTTTACATGTATCCTTCTCGAAATAATAAATCTCTCTTTTCTCTTGTTCTCCTTCTCCCCTCCTTTTCTATTTTTACTCGTTCTTTCATCTTCATTCTCATTTCCTGCCTGTCTGATTGTGTTCATTCTCTCTTTCCCTGTCCTTCGCCTCTGCACTCTCTCTGCTTCCTCTTTCTGCTCCGTCCTGAGCAGACCAGAGACTAGACTTGAACAAGCTGAGTCCCAACGACAGCGACACAGTCCGGGGCCAGATAGTTGGTGAGTACAGTTGGATGTCAGAGACGATATAAATCACGTATAAAGTAATTTCTGTCATGCTTGCTTTGATATTCAGAGCTTGTAATGATCCTCCACGTCCTGTTTTGTTTCTCACATGTGGACGCATCGTATGCTCATACATGTAGTCTGCCAAATATGGCCCATTATTTCTCTGCAAAATACAAGATTAGATTTCATAACTCCAGTGGAAGTAAAACAAAGAAAATGCAGGTTCGTTTAACCAGACCCTCCAGTTTACCTCTGATGAAACCGAACCCTTTTCCTGTTACTCATAAAGATATATAGCTCCATTTTGTGCTTCGATAAAAAGAAGAAGAAAAAAGATGTGTGCCTACGCTGTGATCTGCTGTCTAGTAACACCAGTGTGTGCATCTGTCTGCCATGTGTTGCTGCAGTGAGCCTGCAGTCGAGGGACCGGATAGGCACAGGAGGTCCTGTGGTGGACTGCAGTCGGCTGTTTGACAATGATCTTCCAGATGGGTGAGTGAGCGAGTCGGGGGAAGTCTCTTGTCATTTCAGGAGGAGGTTTTTTGTTTTTGTTTTTGTTGCAAATCTTAAACAATTAATGCTTGTGTCAAGGAGGAGAGGCGTTAATATGAAATTCATATTAGAACATGATATTAGCATGTGGTGAAGTGAAACTAGACGGTTCTGTGGGTGCTTAACTATGTCCGCTCACTGCTGCGTCTGTGTATGTTTCTGCTGCCAGCTGGGAGGAGAGAAGGACCGCGTCTGGACGAATCCAGTACTTGAACCACATCACACGCACCACACAGTGGGAGAGGCCTACCAGGTGAGTACACTCTGCAGCCCACAGAAACTCAAGCCCAGACCTCTTAAATCAAACAGCAGCAGCCTGATGGAAGACCTCATCTCTGACCTCGGTGCTCCCAAACTGGGGAAGCTCTGGAGAGCGCTGGAGTGGGCTCCTCAAAAAAAATAAAAGGTGTCTGACAGACTGGTGCAGACGGTGAGGTTTAATGATGTGGAAGAGCCAGGGACGTCACTGACATGAGCAGAAGCATCTCTTCCCTGCTCTCTGAATGCTTCTTTTGAGTTAATCAGCCACTCCTTCATATTTTCTGCTCAGTTCTTGCCGAGCCTGATGAGTTCGGCTGTGTGCTCTGCTTTGTATGGATTTCCTAATTAGCACAGGATGATTGTGCTCATTGATTTGCTGCTGTTTGTAGAGATGTCTTTTTTTTTTTCCTTCCGTGCTAATTTCCCGCAGCCTCCTTCTTGGCTGTTGTTTCCTACATTAACCCCTCACCCTCCCGTCTTGTTGCCCCCTCCCAGGCCTGCATCAGAGTACTCCAGCCCCGGCCGGCCGCTCAGCTGCATCGTGGACGAGAACACGCCCATCAGCACGAACGGCGCCACGCCCACCACGGCGCTGCCACCGAGCGACGGCGACCAGCGGGCCCAGGAGAGACGGGTCCGCTCGCAGAGGCATCGCAACTACATGAGCAGAACCCACCTGCACACGCCCCCGGACCTTCCTGAGGGATACGGTTAGTGGGAAGTTAAACACCGCGGGCCGAACGTGTGCTGCGTTTATGAACAAATTACATGTTAGATTTACGCACATTTTGCTGGAAGAATGGCTGAGAAGATTATCACATGGCCTCAGTGTTTGGGCCTCAGCTGCAAAATAATTAGAATTAATTTGATTATTTATACAGTTAATCAACGTCTAACTAAGATCAGACCACAACGTCCAAGTAACTGCAGCTAAATTGCATAAAAAATAACCCCCCTCCTTTATTTTTTTTCTTTTCTAAATAATATAATTGATAAATGATAAGCCTCTGGAAAAAAGAAAAGAGCGGAAGCTGGTACTGCACATGACTCTGGTTTTCTAATTTCAACACAGAAAAAAAGATGTATTATTCCGGGTACAAACCATGTGCAGTATTTTTGTAATCTTCTGTGAAATCCGTGTTGACAGTGAACTGTGTCATCATTGTAGCGCCGTTGTGTTAATTGCTTCACCTCGGCCCCGCTGCCTGCTCAACACTGGGCTCAGTAACCCAGCTAATCTGTGTCCTCATTCAGTCCAGCGCTGCTCTGATGACGCTGCAGCTCCGCGCAAGGAGCCTGAAATACTGGCTCCATTTTAGACAATCTAATTGAATTGATCTAGCTGTTAAAAGCTGGCGGCAGCCATTCACTCCTCCCTCCTCCTCCACCCTCCTCCTGTTCTCCTTTCTGCACACAGTCAAACAATCAGACGCATTCATGTAAAAGCAAACACACACACACAAGCTGCGATCCCCCACACAGCCCAAGGGAGTTTTGTTTATCCTCACAGTAAAATCTTCTGTAGGATTTGGGAGCCATAGAAGCGTATCACAGCTTTGCCCTCAGTCCCTCAGATTAGGAGGCTCCGAGCCTCACAATGCTCGTCTCTCTCTTTGCCCCTCTCGCTCTCTGTCTCTGCACCTCCCTCTCTTTTCTGTTAATCTGACAGCAGTTTATATGCTGGTCTCATGTAAAAATAAGTCATGACGCCATTGTCACGAGCTTTATTAACCTTTAGAGTCCAAGTTCACGTCCTTTCTTCTTGGTTGAATTGTTCTGGAAGTGTTCGGTGGAACAAATATCAAATGAAACGGCACAACTTGACCTTTTCAACGACTGTATCAGGAGGTGTCGGTGACAAAACATGACTGTAGCTGTATGCAGGTACATTCATGTGTATGCCCACATCCATATCCCTCGTTTAAGGTGCTCATGAACATGTCACTGCATGGACGTGTTAATAACCAGACATGTTATTGTCAGTGTGATCATTATATTATCATAGATTATCATAGAGTGTATTTTTCAGTCGTATAGTGTTCTTCCATCATTGTTCTGACACCCGTCGCTATGAAGGTCGCCGGTTCGCGTCCCAGTGAGGACACCCGGGATCTTTCTGCGTGGAGTCTCCATGTTCTCCCCGTGCAGCGTGGGTTCTCTCCGGGTTCTCCGGCTTCCTCCCACAATCCACAAACATGCTGAGGTTAATTGGTGATTCTAAATTGTCCATAGGTGTGAATGTGAGTGTGTTTGGTTGTCTGTCTCTAAGTGTAGCCCTGTGATAGACTGGTTACCTGTCCAGGTGAACCTGCCTTCACCCTGAGTCAGCTGGGATAGACTCCAGCCCCCCATGACCCTAGTGAGGATTAAGGTGTAGAGATGATGGATGGATGGATATCTACATTTAAAAACATCACAAGTTCATGATAAGAAATACTTTTTCCTTCATATAAAGGCTAACATTAAAAAAAAATCTGCAGTTATTGTCAAATGTTGGAACATCATGTGTGGCTCAACCAACATATGACCAAGATAGCGACATAAACCTGAAATGAGCCTTGAGTTTACACTACTGTATCACTATGAACACGTCTGAACGGATGCCGTCATGCCCAGCATTATGAGGCATTGACATCACTTGGGAACGACAGGCTTCACTGTGAAATTGGTTTGAATATTTTGGCTAACAGCGCAAAAATGTTGGAAAAATGGCCCGACGCTGGGATCAGAGAGCTCCTCTTCCCTCGCACCGCGGATGAGATAACCAGCCCGTGTAATGGAACCATAATCGTAAGGCTGCATTCTGCTGGTCTCGTGTGTTGAAGCCAAGTATCACATGCACATCATGGGTAACTCCATACTGGTCTTGGTATATCTGAATAAAACTGTAAAAGTCACCTGTGTGCCGCCACTTTAGCAGCTTGACGAAGGCTCTGCTCTCTCCTTACTTTGTTAATTCTTTGGCAGCACACGTTGAACCTGTCAGCAGCTCCGATTCTCACGCGAGCCAAGAGATGTCACCCTGCTAGGGGGGAACGTATAGCGTGCTCGAGTGCGGGTTTGGAAAGTCGTGTTTACATTCATGTTGAAGCAGGGTGGCGGATCCAAAGGGATGCCAGCGAATAGCTCCCTGGCAGGCGGCTTCGTGGAAATATCTCTGTCAAGCTGTGATGAATGAGCTCACCAACCGAAAAGTCAGACATCCACCCCCCGTCTCTCCTCCCTTTCCTCTCCAATGTTCTTCACCCTGTCTCTCACCTCCTCCCTCCGCTGCCTCTTCCTGGCTGCCTTGTGGGATCTCCACTGACTCAGGCATTCTTTCATCCCCGTCTGTCTGACCGCTCTCTTACTCGGACACATTATGAGCAACACATTGCACGTGAATTAAACTCGGTTTCGTCTAGAAATGCTGCATGTTTTAATGATTTGGCGTACGCTTAATGCCAAGGCCGAGAGCTCTTGTTAATTTGATCCACAACATTGCATAACGGAGAGCTTGATTCACCCCCTTTTTTTTATGTCTTCCTGCAGAGCAAAGGACGACGCAGCAAGGCCAAGTTTACTTTCTCCACACTCAGACAGGTGTCAGCACGTGGCACGACCCCAGAGTACCCAGGTACGTTCTTCACAGGATTACAGATACAACATGACCCTCTCTCGCTGCACCTAATCTTCACTGTAGAATAGTAAAACTCCTGAATGGGGAATTGGGCTGTCCACAGAATCCGTTCTCCTCCTCAGTCGTGCTTCACGCTCCTCGTAGCTGACGCTACCCATAGCTCGTGTCGTGGCAGTCTTATTCCCGGTCCCCTTGTAGTTCGCCGTAAACCTGCAGCTGATTACGAGTCTGACATGCTGTGAGAAGACCCATGTCACGGGGCTTCTCGCAGCAATTCGGTCCTCTGGCACAGCCGCTGAAAGGCCTCGCTCTGGGACACATGGCCAACAGCACACGGGTCTCAATCAGCCCGACCGGAGGCGGTTAGGCAATACTCACACAGACACGTGCGTCCTATTGATTACTATACTCCTGAAGAATGCATATTCACAAGATCTACATGTGCAGACTTCAGTGTGCTCCCTCAGGAAAACACGATCGCTTCCCTCTCGCACTTTATCAGCGCATGAGTGATGGATGACATGTTTATTGCGCTAGATAGAAGGCCGCTGGTCACGCCACGCCTTCCTGAGCGCTCCTCAGTTAGCCGCCAAGCTCTCACCACTTGTTTGGGGGCTCTAGTCGCTTTGGCTTTAACCCGCTCAAACAGAGAAGTTAGCCAGCGTAGCAAAGCCTGCTGTAATTTCTGAACCTTTTAGTCTCCCTGGAGTCCAGCTGAAAGGGGTTGCAGGGCAGCAGTAAATAATTTAGATGGGAGGAAGGAATAAAATAGAATAAAAGTGATTTCTCAGACATCTCGGAATCTTGCTGTCCACTCGAGTCCAGTTAGTCAGGCCTTTGGTATGTTTTATACCTAAAGTTTAATGCGAGCGCCTGGCCTCTCTTTTCGTCTCTTCCCTGCCTGAGTTCTTCTGACATTCTTGTGTACTGATGCTCTATTGTGTGTGTGTTTGCTCCTGTGTTGCGCCGCAGAGATCTGAGTAATGTGAACTGCGAGGAGCTGGGTCCGCTACCACCAGGATGGGAGATCCGGAACACCGCCACCGGGAGGGTGTACTTCGTCGACCACAATAACCGAACCACTCAGTTCACAGACCCGCGCCTCTCCGCTAACCTGCATCTAGTCCTCAAGTAAGAACCGCGGCACCATCGAACCAGAAGAACCGTGAAATAGATTCGCCGGTTCATGCTAGAAAAGCAGCGATTTATGTTTTCTTTCCTGTTTTGTCTTTGTAGCCCAAGCCCTAATGGTTCTCGAGGAGGCATCGAAAGTCAGAATGTCAGGTAAGGCTCGGCTTCATGCCAACGCTGCTCGCTACACGCAGACAGGAACACACACAAACACACACCGCCAGACATCAATTTAGACTTGGTTACTTTTTCTGCCCCTCAGTCAATGTTTTACACAGAGATCCTGTGCCAAGGTGTGTTGGCCACCTGTAGAGGTTCAGCTCTCAGCGTAGCGCTTCTGCTGAGCAGACGTCTGCAGGCACACACAGAAGTACATACACAGCGCACTCCCCCACAGTCTTTTCTTTCCACACAAAATTTCAAATTCCTCAGCCCTGCAGAGGTTTTGATCATAAAGGCGTTTTAGCACACAATCCGTCACAAAGCTGTCTTTGGCCAGACATCAGATAGCGGAGTGGAAACCGAGGCTGCTGTGTCTGTGGCTGAGGAGCGTCTTACGTCCAGGAAGCGGAGCATAAATTCTATACCCAAGTCAATGAATGAGCCGTATGTATGCGCGTCCATCTGTGCGAGTTCACGTGTGCTGGTTCTGCGCCTGGTACATGCCTGCGTGCACGGACGCACATGCTCAGAATTTCTTCCCTTGTGCAGCTGTTCAAACACATACTGCGCAGCAATAGCCGTAGAATTACCCATAGGTCCTTGCACCGCGAAGGTGGAGGAGCGTACGGGTGCCTTGGTGGGCCTCCTGCGCCTGACCTCATTCCTTCTCCGTGCAGAGCGAGAGCGACGGAATGCATCGACACACAGATCAGGTTTCTCTTTTTTTTTTTTTTTTTCTCCTGTTCTGCTTTTTTTTTTTTTTTTTCTCCTGTTCTGATGGATCAAAGAACGTGTTTAGGATTTTGTATTCGTTTCACTTTTTCTTTTTTTTTCCCTCATCTACGGCCCTCTTATAAAAATGTAGCTTGGCACGCCACATTTGTTTTTAATGTTGAGCGTGATTATGCACAGATGTGTGAAAACCTCATACGTAGAATTTTGATTATAGTTGGATAATTAGCTAAAAGGTGGATGTGTTTGCTTTTTTTCCCCTCAAGTGTTATCACAGGGGAGATTTTCTAAGCATAAGAATCTTTGCGTTATTGTGACATCATATAAAATATTAAATCCTGGCCATCCACACGGACCTTGACCCGACATTTGTGAAGCCGATATAAATTATGAACTACTATAGCTTAACCTGAGCAAACGTCTGTCCGTTCCATTTGCATGTAATCGACGATCTATTCCCTTTTTAGTACGGTTTCTGCCCTAAATTTGGAGTAGCTTTGTAGCTCGTGACAAAAGTCTGGAAAAGATATCATGGATTTCCATCAAGACATCTGCCTTTTATCAGGTCAGGGATTTTAGAAATTTTCACCCCTCGTGTGCCGTCATCCCGCAAAAATGTTTGATATATACATGTCCATCAAAGTTATATTTTATTGCCCTTTTTATTTGCTAAAGACACTGCCTGAGCATTGAGAGCATGGTTTTGGTTAAACTCCCCCTGTGATGTTGCAATCTTCTGCTGGATCCAAGCCCCCCAACTGGTCAAGGTCACTGTCCAATAGGTAACCGAATCCTTGTCTGGTTTTAAGAGCTGGCTTGCGGGATTGCCCGTCTGCGCGGCTGTTTGAGAAATAGCTGTAGTTTTTTTTCCCAGACGTTTGTGATTCGTCGCTTAGCAAAACATTGCTTTTATTGCGACAACTCGCCTCTTGCGGCGAGCGTCTCAAGGTAACATGCGCCGGAGTCGTGCTCGTCGTCAGCAGCTGGACGGAGAACAGAGCCGGAGCAGGAGCGTTTGATTTACGGGCGAAAGTGCAGGAAGAGATGCTCCGGGCCTGCTCTCCCACCCTCCGAGTTGTCTGCAGTGTTTGGGTGCTGTCGGAAGAGTTGCCCTTCCTGCCTCCCCTCTCCTCTCCTCCCCCCCTCTTCTTGCCTTCCCTCCCTCTAAGTCTAGTCTGCAGGAAATAAAGGGATTCATGGGGCCCTGTGGCTTTCTGGGATAGCAGGAAGTGATTGAAAAGCCAAACTGGATTCTGCTGGGCAGACACCAGAAACCAAACTCAGTCACTTTGTTAGCAGAACTTGTCATTGTGGCGAGGCAGAGTGCGGGCAGTTGGGTGGATGCTTTTAAAGCAGCGGTCTTGAGCCAAATGAGCTCCTGACAGCTGTACTCTGGCGGAGAACTGAGCTGACTGACACTTTGGATTTGTCCCTCACCGTGTTTTCTTTTTTGCTCCATTGAAAATTTAATTACCTGATAAAAGCCGGCGTGAAAGTGATTATTTTACCTCAGGCATCACATCCTCCGCATGCACACAGACGGACGCTTGTGTCCCTCCACCACCACCACCACCACCACCCTCTGTGCTCAACTCTAGCGTCTGGTGTTTATGACCCCGCTCAGGGGCGAGCATGCCTACTACCCCCCACTGAAGTGCAAAAGGCCACTGTGCAAATAATCCTTTAGTGCCGGCCCCATAAAGGCTCTTTTGATTCTGTGTGTGTTCGTGTTCTGTGCCCCCCTCCATCCCCACGGTACCACCCTCTGAGGCCTTCTTCCCAAACCCGATTCAAAAGTCGTATTCTTCGTCCAGCGGGCTGCACGGGAGTCGGGACCTCTGTCATCGTTAAACTCAGACGATGCCAACAGTCTCGCCGCTGAAATGAATGTGAAAACAGTTTGGAGAGATGCTTTTAAAGGCTGAGAAGTTTAAATTAAAACAGTTTAAATACGCTGAACCTCAGCTGCTCTACAAAGGCAGATAGAAACGGCAAAAGCACGACATTAAAGCTTAAAGAAAATGTATATGCTGCTGCGTACTCTCTTAGGACAATTTCTGCAAAAAATGAAAGCTTTTGTGCCTTTTCAGTTGAAAATGTTTAACCCTCTGAACCAGAAAACTCAGCAGCAGGTTTGAAAGGCGCGTTATCTTTAAAAAAAAAAATCCTCGAATTACACCATTTATTGGAGCCATAAACAGATTTGAAAACTGTCCACCGGTCCTTGAACTGATCGTGCAGGAATAAGCAGTAAAATTACCCAAATCAATTCTTAAAAATCGCTTAATTCTTCACGTCTCGTATGAAAATTTGCCAAGTGTGCATCAGGTCCTTGACCCTCAACACAACCAACCAGCTGTTTGTGGCTCAGCTGTGACCAACAAACAGTCACGTAGCAGCGATCCACGGACCTGTCGGCTGAACTGCAGGCTGTGTTCACACAGAGCGGAGAGGAAACGAGTATAAAAACAAATAGCATGTGGTAAAAATATCAACTGTATGAAGAGTCACCAGTTTTTCCAGTACTGGTAACACCTGAGGGCACCTCGAACAATGTGGTACATCTGGATTGCAGGAGTTTTTGTGTGTGTAAAATAATCTAAACAATTCAACTTTCATTGTTTCTAGTTACGATTTTTGGCATTTTTAAGACATTTCTGTGCTGTTTCCATAGAGATGCAGTGAAAAATGAGTCCACAGTCATGAAAAAAACCCACCCAGCAATTGTGAGGAGTTTAGAGGGTTAATTTGTCAAAGTGTTTTTATTGACTGACTAAATTTAGCTCAACCTCAGACAGAAAAGTGCAGATTGTTCCTGTATCTTGTAGGCCAGTGTGTGGCGTGGGCTGCAGTCACATTAGCCGAGTGCTTCGTGATACATTTTGAAGTATCGTCAAGTAAATAGGTGGCAAAATTAGGAATTTTCAGATTTGGATTCTTGCAGTTTCATAATGAAGTACTGTTTGGGGTTTGTGGGCGGCTGTGGCTCAGGTGGTAGAGCAGGTTGTCCACTAATCATGAGGTTGGTAGTTCGATCCCCGACCCCTCCACAGCCGACGTGTCCTTGAACAAGACACTGAACCCAAAAGTTGCTCCCAATGGCAGGCAGCACCTCGCATGAATGTGATCTGCTCTCAAATGTACGTCGCTTTGGATAAAAGCGTCTGAATTTTACGGAAAAACAATTAATGTGCATAACGGGCAAACGGAAAACTCTTCTCTAAATTAGTCCTGACACAGAAAACATTGAACTCACATGACAGATGTTGTTTTCGTCTCCGGACAGCGTGAAACATGGCCGACACCAGCTGACTTGACAGAAAAACAACAACTTTCCTCACAGATTCCTCTCCGTTCCTCCTCCTCCCGTAGATGGACAAAGTTTTGTTTGTTTGTTCTTCTTCAAAGTTCTCTGGTGGTTGTCAGACAACTGGTTTTTGTTTTGGTCTTTCCTGTGCTCGGTTTATTGCAGCCATGTGTGATGTAGTCTGTACGTCTGACGTCACTGCTCGGCCTAAACGCTCTGCACTTACACAGCGCTTTACTACCTTGGCGGTGCATTACAGTGTTCTCTCATTCACACACCAGCCGGGTTCATTTGCCCCGCAGCGGTTAAATGCAAACAAGCCTCATTTGCATAATCTTGAGTTTGTTTTGCGACATTTTCCAAAGCTCCCTTCAGATCCACTTATATGCAAACACGACAGGAGCCCGGAGTATTTTCTCTCCTCGACGTGGGAACCAACTGTTGGACTTGTCAGAATGTTCCAGTACGCCTCTGAGAGGTGGCCTCGGCGACCCTGCATTTCCTCAATTGGACATGATGAGTCAAAAGCAACAGAGCATCTCTATAAACCTTGTTCTAGTTCGTCCGTCCCCGTGTGCGAGAGACCACCAGGCGTCTGCCAGCTGCAGAGGAAGATGTGCGTCTGTTTGCGAGTGAATAAGGGAGATGTCTTACCTCGAGTAGTCCCACCTCCACCTATGTCTGTCTGTCTGTCTGTCTGGCTGTGTGAGTGTGAGTGTGAGGGGCTGAGGCAGCTGTTTGACTTGATGTGCTTCCCAGATGACCTCAGTGTGTTTACTCCTCGTTCTCTGCAGTCAGCACAGGACGGAGAGAGAACTCTGACTCTCACAGCGCTGTGTTTTGAGTTCTTGGCTTCCCTCTTGTTTTTGCACTCGTGCTTGCTTACTTTTTTTCTCACGAGCGAGCTTGTTTGTAGTTGACGCTGGTACACCTAAGACTTAACATTTTTGCCTTTCATCTCGTCCCTCTCTGTCTTTCTGTCTCTTTCTCTTGGCCCGTCTCTCTCCCTCTCCTCTGCCACGGCCCATCAGTCGTCAGAACCAGTTGAAGGATCAGGCCCAGCAGGCTCTGGTGTCCCCCGGTCAGCTCCCAGAGGAGGCCGAGTGCCTCACGGTACCCAAATACAAGAGAGACCTTGTTCAGAAGCTCAAGATCCTTCGCCAGGAACTGTCCCAGCAGCAGCCTCAGGCGGGCCACTGCCGCATCGAGGTGTCCCGGGAGGAGATCTTCGAGGTGAGTGCGGACAGGAGTGATGTCCTCGTAAGTCACAAGGGGGGCACATTATTTAAGGTTTTCAGAAATTGGTACATAATTTAACCCAGAGGGAAAGTCAGATGTCGCAGCCAAAGCATGTGCAGAACTACTTAAAATGCTTGACGAGATGTTAGAAAAACAGGAAAATAATCTAACATGGACTACGTTGCACAACCACTGGATCCACTTTTCCCAAAAAACTCCAGCCAGCAAGTTGACATTTGGCCCTGTGAGCTGTAAACACCAGAAATCTGTGTTGACCCTCAATTTCCAAATAGCTCCAGCGAATTCTGCGGCGTGTAAATAAAGCAAACCGGCACGATATTTGATTATTTCTCATACCTGCAGATCTGCTTGTAATCGTGCGGTTATTTATAGCCTCGTCCAAGTTATTCTGGAGGTGATTTTCTCCGCTGTTCTTCTTGTGTGCTCCCATAAAGGTCATTGCCCAGAGCAGTCTGGCTGTGAGCAGGATTCCTCTCACACACACACACACACAAGGTTATCTATGATGTGTGAAGGTTCGAAATCTAAAGCAGACCTCTTGTTCGAGATCTCAGAGGGGGAGGTTTTTTTTTTTTCTCTTGCATCCAGGAGGTGCAGGGCCCTCATCAGAACAACAACACCTGCAACAGACTGCGTGACCCTCATAAAATATGCATTGGAATGTGCTGGAACAGCCACGTCTGTTAATCTGAACGAAGACATTTTTGTTGGCTGATCTCAATGTGAGAGCGAGAGGGGGGATGGGGATGGGAGATGGTGGAGTTGGGGGTGGAAGGTTGAGCGAGACATAACTGCATAGCTTCTCCAGACCAGCTGAAGCATTAAATTATGACTGAATAGGCAAGTGTTAGCTGGTGGACTGTCAGAGCTGTCTTTATGTGTACTCTGTGGCGTAGATAAGACATTCCCATTTCTCCCACAGCACCCCTCGCTTGTCTGCTCTATCTGGAGGGCACGGTGGAACCTGGCAGCAGAAGAGGCTGTGTTATTATAGTCTTATGGCTGTGTTTATTATAACTGCCCCTAATCCACTTTAAATGAGCCCTCCCCCTGACGCCGGGAGCCGTGTGCACGTGGGATGAGCGCTGATTGAGGCGGAGAGATTTCAGCTGGAAATGACTGCCGTGACACTGCACGCTGCAAACTTTCTGGTTAGGCTTCGTTTTCATGCAGGTCTTAGCCCAGGTTTTTTTGTTGTTGTTTGTTGTTGTACCCTGTATGGCCTCGAAAGACAGGAGGGTCGAGGGTGATTCGTCCCCGGAGTCAGGCTGGTCTTCTCTTCAGCTCAGGAGTAGCTGCAGATTGGCAACAACAAAAAAAAAAGCTCAGGACTCTGCTGCCAATTGGCCCCAGTTTTATTAACTGACACAACATGTTTGTCAATTTGTCATTTGCATCGTTAGTGTCGAGCCAAAGTGGGAAATGATGAAACTAATTTTCAAAAACTTTTCCTCTCAATGTGTAGAAATGACAAAGCATAAATTCAGAACTAAATTTAATGATCATCTGACACCTAAATTGACTAAAAGGCTGCTTTTATTGTCAGAGTTATGTGAAATATTGCAAGATACGTGCAATTCATTGTCATTATAAATGATGTATTGCGCTCCAATTAACTTGGCAGTCACACAATAATGATCGATAACGCGCCTCTGATTGGATCTGTGTTGGTTCCTGTTCCCTCCTCTCACGTCCTTTCCCTTCAGAGCCTCGTTCACCGGTTTGTTTAGATTATAGATTCATTAACAAGTCATTTTATTGATGGCCTTACAGGATATAATGCAAAAAAAAAGATTAATCTGGAAGAAATAATCAAATTGACATGTTTGTATTGGAAGGTGATTAGGTGGCTCGGTGGTTAGCACTGTCGCCTCGCAGCTAGAAGGTCACGTCCCGGGATCTTCCTGCGTGGAGTCTCCATGTTCTCCCCGTGCAGCGTGGGTTCTCTCCGGGTTCTCCGGCTTCCTCCCACAGCCTAGAAACATGCTGAGGTTAATTGGTGATTCTAAATTGACGAGCTGCTTGTGTCTGTGTTGCAGGAATCGTATCGACAGGTGATGAAGATGAGGCCGAAGGACCTGTGGAAAAGGCTTATGGTGAAGTTCAGAGGCGAAGAGGGCCTGGACTATGGAGGAGTGGCCAGGTAAGGAGGCCTCGTGAAGACGACATGAAATCTCTCTCCTGTGGAGGGAGCCAAAGCACTCAGTTTACTCACTGTTGTGTGCACCGTCACTCGCAGGGAATCCAAAGGCACATCTGGGCTGTTGGGGTTCTCTGTTTAAAATTCTTTACCTGATGACAATATGCTATGAATTTGAGCTACAGAAATAAAACTGAATTGTTGTTTTTCCTGGTTTTAGGGTATTGTCTCATCAGCAGAGCCGTCTTCCTCTGTATGTTCTGTAGATGATGTAACTGGTTTCTCCTCTCTGTCTCGTCTTCATCCCTCCCTCCATCTCTCCACTGTGCTCTGCAGGGAGTGGCTCTATCTGCTGTCGCATGAGATGCTGAACCCGTACTACGGCCTGTTCCAGTACTCCCGCGACGACATCTACACGCTGCAGATTAACCCCGACTCCGCTGTCAATCCTGTGAGTCTTCCTGCACGACTTCATCACTGAACGGTTTCTGCCCCTCTCCAGTTGGTGGGAAGGAACTAGTGTTTTGTGTATATTAGCTACAGTCTGCAGTAGAGCGACTCACTGATGTCTCCTTACTGAACAATGCTTCGTCTCCCTGCAGGAGCACTTGTCATACTTTCACTTCGTGGGCCGTATCATGGGGATGGCAGTGTTCCACGGCCACTACATCGACGGAGGCTTCACGTTGCCGTTCTACAAACAGCTGCTGGGTAAACCCATCACCCTGGACGACATGGAGTCCGTTGACCCCGACCTGCACAACAGCCTCGTCTGGATCCTGTACGTACAGAATACAGGACTGAGCCTTTGTGTGGACACATAACCCACTATAATGTTGTTAGTATTGATGTGTCCTGTACATATATATAAGGGAAAAAATCTGCATTTGTCAAAGAAAGACATTTTGAAAACCTCCGTCCTTACTGGGATGACAGCGCCCCCTGGGGTTTTTGTATGAATTCTACATCTGAGGTCTCCTAAGCACATGTTTTCAGACCATGTGCTCGCTCGTGTTTTCACTGTGGGGTTAAACATTGGTATACCGTTTCTTCTTTTTCTTTTTTTTGTGCATTTGTCTGAAATCAATTCAGTGAGTTCAACATATAGTTTTAAATCATAGGTCACATGAAACCGTGTCTTCATTTAACAAACCCAGAGACGTGACGAGCTGCTGTGTTTCATCTCTGTGCCTTTATCTTCAGCTCAGATTGGAATAATGTTTGTGACACAGCTTACAGATCAATAACACACTATTTTTATACACATGACTTCACCGGTTGTGTTTCATAAAAAACACCAGAGCTCAGAGGAGTTATTTTTGTTTTCAGCGCTCTCATGTTTTAGCTGGTTGCTTTCTGCATTTATGAAAGAATTTTCTTCTGAAAAGGAAGATAATAGAGATGCAGCTCAGCGTCCATTTAGTTGTTTTTGCCTACTAACAGTGTTGCATTGCACTGGAAAGCCATGCATATTATCTCGGATGTATTACTGGGCCAGGCACGTCTTTACTTATTCAAATGTGCTTAATTTTGGCGAGTAGTTTGCTGAACTAACTGTAAGAGATGCAGTAAAAGACCTACATGTGCTGTACAGCTACTAGTGTGTGTAGCTATTATAGTACAAATGGGGACACCAGCATAAATACTTCAGAAGTCCTCTGAGACAATAAGTGAAGCACGTATAACTTCCTGGAGGCTGGATGACCCTGGTTACTGACTAACCATCAGTAACTGTAAGAAGTAAAGTGACGCAGTGACGATTTCATTGGTCACCATTATCAGTGGCGCCCTATTGTTTGGGGACGTTTGATGGGGTTTCTTTCACAAAGCTGTGAGAGTGAGAGCACACATCTGAGAGCAGATGTTTGGCACAACAACAGTCTGATGAGGAGATCCACTCAAAGTGAAGCTCTGGACGTTTGTGCAGCTACAGCATACCTGAGGTGGTTTGAGAGAGAGAGGGTTTGGAGGGAAAGCATTACGAAATCTAGGTAGAAAACAGAAAGAATAATGCTTTTAAATTGAAAGACCGTGCTCTTGATTAAAGATAGGAAAGTTTCTCAACACAAAGCAAACTTTCTCTGGCCGTTGTTCAGCACCGTAACTGAGGAACAGATGGAGCGATTGATGTGAAGCACAGCTTGACTGGTTGGCAGAGACGCACAGCTGCAGGACTTTAACTCTAGTTTACTAACAGTCGCTGTAACAGCCTGGTTTTTGTTCTTTAACAGTAATTTTAAATCTTCGTCTGCCACCAGGGACAACGACATCACAGGTGTGCTGGACCACACCTTCTGTGTAGAACACAACGCCTACGGAGAGATCATCCAGCATGAGCTCAAGCCCAACGGCAAAAGCATCCCCGTCACCCAGGACACCAAGAAAGAGTACGTCCGGCTCTACGTCAACTGGCGTTTCCTGCGAGGAATAGAGGCCCAGTTCTTGGCTCTGCAGAAGGGCTTCAATGAGGTCATCCCCCAGCACCTGCTCAAGGCCTTTGATGAGAAGGAGCTGGAGGTACTTTAAAGTCTCCTGATTCACACGTAGATGTCACACAGCTTGACTTAGTCCAACACACTGACGTAATTTCTCTACCTGCAGCTGATTGTATGCGGCCTGGGGAAGATCGACATCAACGACTGGAAGTCCAACACGCGGCTCAAGCACTGCACTCCAGACAGCAACATCGTGAAGTGGTTCTGGAAAGCCGTGGAGTCCTTCGACGAGGAGCGCAGAGCGCGGCTGCTGCAGTTCGTCACCGGATCCTCCAGAGTTCCCCTCCAGGGCTTCAAGGCCCTCCAAGGTAACAACACCAGGACGGAGAGCCCAACGTCAGCCGGGTCGCGTTTTGAAATGAGTACAGAACGCTAACGAGATCAGTAGCAAACAGAGGTGTGATCAGTCGTTACTGCTGCTCCACTTTACACTCACAGGCTTTGATAGAAACATCTGTGGTGTGTGCTTCTGCTTCTTGGTGTCTCTGGGTTTCTCCAGCCTGAGATGAACCCTGAGTGTAGAGCAGTGGTTCAGTGGGTCCGTCCTGGCAGGCAGCGCTGCCCAGAGACAGAGCACCCAGGCATGAAACGTACGCCGTGACCCACAGACAGGCGGCACCCATCCACACCTTATGTAACGTCCTTTCTTGAGTGTAACATCAGCAGAAGACCCAGAATGACCCACACAAGATTCATCTTATTTATCACTGCTGGCGTTCAGATACTGAACCTTCTGGATATTTAACAAAATAAATGGATTTGTCTTTAATAACAGGAGACATACGGGGAGGCAAGCTGCAACATAATGAGTGTTGTAACCAAGCATGACAGCCACTGATGTTCATTTAAAAGTTCTTTGGTTGTAGTTGAAGAGTAAACATCCAGATGTAGGTCAGTCAGCTGCAGCATGTCGGGTCTGAGAATCACAGACTAATGACAGAACCGTCCACAGCGATCCGTCCAGATGCCTCCTGTAACAACCGCTACTGCTGCACATGCATTTGGTCACTTCAGAATCTCTTTACTGTCATTGAACAAGAAAGCACAACGAAATGTGAGTTAGCAGCTCTCGTAGGCAGCGCAAGACATCAGGACAGAAGATGTAGGTGCCCAAGAACCTGAAGTCCGGCACCGTCTCCACCCTGTCCCCGTTTATCGTGATGGACTGAATGTCCGGTTTGCACCTCCTGAAGCCGACAATCAGCTCCTTGGACTGGGAGGTGCTCAGGATGAGGTTGTTGGTGGTGCACCAGACTGACAGTCGCCAACTTCACAAATCACAATAAACAACAGAGCGTAGCCTTTCTAATGATCATAGTAATCTGGTTGTGACATTACAGCACAGTTCTGCCTCGTCGGCCATTACACCTCGCTTTGTGTGAAAACTAAACACTAAATAATAGATTTTCATTGCAATGGCTCAAAAGACGAGTGCAGGTCACCTGGAAGCATCATCAATAAATGATGACAGATGGAGGTGGGCCGGGCGGTTCTTAAAGAAACAAGATACGGCGGCTAAACGAAGACGTGGCCGAGATAAGAGCTCAAAGTAAACGTAGTGAAATTAACCTGAAAATAGCCTCTCAGGGCTCATAGGGTTAAATAACTGTCAGTGTAGGTGTTGGAGTTTAATACCAGCTAATGATGTCTGGTCTCATCTGTGCATTATTATTTTATCTATACAGGTAATCTCGTTGAGACCAAATAACAAAACAATACAACATGGAGTCACAAGTGCAAACAGTGCCAGGCGATAAATAGAATACAACAAACAAGAACCAGGAGATGATCCTTCCAGGGTATGTAGCAGATCTTTGAAGCCCCCCAGGGGAATCAAGTTGGACAGTTCCAGGTTGAGGGGGTTTCAGAAAGCCATTTTTCCAAGTTCTGTCCGGACTGAGGGGACGGTGAAAGTAATGAAGTCCTGTGAGCGTAGGCTGGACTGTTAGCAGGACGTGTAGGAGGATCAGTAAACAGGCAGCAAACCAAGGATCCACACAAACACTGACGGTGCAGGTGTACGAAGGTCCGTCTTACTTATTTTTTATTTTATTATTATGCAGGTGCTGCTGGCCCTCGACTCTTCACCATCCACCAGATCGATGCCAGCACCAACAACCTGCCCAAAGCCCACACCTGGTGAGGAACAAGTGGTTTTGATCATGTGACACAGTCCAGATCGAGTCACGACTGTATGTTATTTCCAGTAGAGAAGCATGACCTTAAAACGCTTCCCTTTTCTCCACAGCTTCAACCGGATCGACATTCCTCCCTACGAGCACTACGACAAACTCTACGACAAGCTGCTCACTGCCATCGAGGAGACGTGCGGCTTCGCGGTGGAGTGAGTCGCCGGCGGAGCTCACCGACGACCAGAAGCGACGTGATTTGGCCGCGACGAGTCCCCCCGGTCCACAAATCAGTCCATTCAGACGAGGGGGTGGGGAGAGAGGGAGGGAAGGGAGGGAGGGGGTTTATTGATGATTGCTTCACCCAGGGACGCTCACACTTCCTGGGGACACGTGGCCGAGCTAAGGGAGGCAAAGACGACCAGAAAATGTCACCTGACTCTGGGGGTTTTTTTTGTTTGTTTTTATTTTTTTACACCCTGCAGCCCTCCTTAATATCTTTTTTTTTTTTATCATTGAAAAGGATCTCTTCAGCTGCTAATAACTCAGACTATTTACTAACTTGTGGAACCTGCAATTGTTTTTTGTTTTTGCTGGCTCTTCCTTTTTTTTTTTTTTTTTTTTTCTAAGTTCATTTTAGCATTTAAAAAGAAAATAAACTACAAAAAAAAACGACCATATTCCATGTAGCAGTTCTCCATCTTACCAAGCAGAACACAAGGTCAGTCGGCTCTGAAACACCAACAGTAGCCACATTAGCAAGACTGGCTGGTTTGCTAGCGTACAGGGTCACGATTGGTCACCGCAACCACTTGGAAACACTAAATTCGGATGCAGACTCGGGCTGTTTGGTGCCTCGGAGCGACCGGGGGCCGCCAGTAATGCCAAGAATGGAAAGCTGGGATGTATGTGTGTGTGTGTTTGTGTGTGTGCATGTGTGTGTGGACGAGAAGGCGAGACCAGAGACTGAATTACAACCGACTGTTTACAACCTTCTCCAAAGACGGCAGCGCAAAAAAAATCCCATCAACCCGGCGCTGCGACTCCCACAAACCCCCGCGTCGCACGTTTCACGACGAGTTTGGAACCGAGGAAATGAATGAGTAGCTTGAAATGTGTTATTTTTATATAACAGGGAAAATTGAGAAAGAAACAATAAAATTCTATATAATATATATAATTTATTTGCTGTTATATTTCAGAAACCCCTTTTCTTCTGTTGTTTTTTTTTTTTTTCTTTCTTTCCGACAAAAATAAAACCTTTTAAATGTTGAGTGTTACTGTTTAAATTATACACAAAGACAAAGAATTTGTGGAAACGAGAGTTGACTGAATTTAAAGAATGCTGTGGTTTGTTTCTGACCTCAAAAAGAGGTTTAAGGGCAAAAAAAACCAACAACTTAAACACACATCTGAGTGCCATAATTATTTCCGAATGAATGAATCTTTGCAAATATCGAGCTGACCCTTTAAATTCTACTGATTTCATCCTGGAGCTACGTATGCTGGTGGTGTGATGTTCCCTTTTTTTAACATTTGTCATTTGTAGCTGGGCTATATTAGCGTCACCACCGTTAAATTTTAATGGTGTTCTGTACGGAAGAGTCCAAAGTTGACTTTGTGCTGCCTCCATGTCACGATTGAAGAAAAAAAAAAAAAAGAAAAACCTCTACTACCTACTAGCCGCGTGGTGCTAAACTGCATTAACATTTGTCTTACATCGGCGACCTCGCTCACTGACGTACTACTGCTTCGACATGCTCACACCTTGCCACATTCTCAGGAGACGCCATGTGTAGTTTTGTGATGTCGGTTTGATTTGACGACTAACCATTTGTCTCGATTCGCTGAAGTCTCTTATCGTGCCCACAGCGAACCATTAACTGCATGTCTCCACGTGTGCTTTTTGGTTGAAAGTGAACTGAATGAGATGATTTTTTTATTTTCTAGCCTGCTCTACAGTCCTATCAGAAAGGCGGGGAGGGGGGTTTGTTTTCTACGATTTAAAAATTCTTGAATGTTTTTAAAAAAAAAGATGCTGCCTGTCTAGCAATCTCTACGACCGTGGACTGTTCTTAACGTTTGCATATGCTAAACAAAAAAAGAAGAAAACAACAAAAAAAAAAAACACACATTTCTTTCACGTAGACGAGTGTATGCAAAGTGAAAAGTGTCCTCAGATGGTGCTTTGTACAGTAATAAGATATTGTTCATATATGTGGATCAAACAAACTGTAATTTATCTTTAACTTAAGTAGAAAAAAGGAGAAGAAAAAAACAGATTTTCTTGAAGAGGAATTGCACACAGAAGGAGGTTGTATTTAAAGGCGACTTCTGCACCAGATATTCGCTCACCTTTAAGAAGTCCAGTGCACAAGCTGATCGATCGCCCTACTGTCTGTTCCTACACTACATCGCTCAGCAAAAGCCCCATAGCTGCCTCCCACTGAACTGAACTTTTGTTTTTTTTTTTAAACAAGTCAAAGTTGAGAGATGCCGCTTTTATTTTTTCTTTCTTTTTTTTTTTTTTAAATAGCATGATCCACTAGCAGGACTATATCTCTCATAGCTGACTGATGCAATTTGATGTATGTTAACACTATCATTTTGTAAGAGTATTTTATTTTTGTGTGTAATTAGTTCTAATTAAACTTGCCTTTGTCTAACAATGTAAGGCCTTGTACACGGACATGTCCTGTCTTTTTCTTTTCGAGATCACAAAGGAGGTTATAATTAATGGTTGCTTATGTTAATAATGTGCCTGAACATGGGGGGGATTATTTACATCGGATCAGTTTATCAGACGTGTAAGAACCGTGCTGACGGAGGATAATTGGTTGCAAAATAAAAAAAAACCTGCAGCTTTACATGCGAATAGTCCCCAGACCACCCAGCGTGTCGTCGCTGGTATCAGTCTGGATTACAGCGTCTGGCAGGAGGCTCAGAGGGAGGCCGGGGGAAAGCGTAAAATGATGATTAACAAGGCTGTCGGGCCGAGTGCAGATGCTGTATCATACGACTGACGGGTCAAACAGGAAGCAGAATATTAGAAGCAAATCAAGGCTGAATGTTTCTGGATGTTGAGTTAAATACAAACCTGATAATAAAGAACTGAAAGATCTCTAAAAGGTCACATCAGCAGTGACTTCAGGAGTCAATCAGATGTTCAAAATGGATCTGATTAGAAGTAAAAATATCTCAGGTGTTTAGAGGCGTCATCAGGCCGGGACGTCCAACGTTAGAGGCTCTAATGTTTTATGAAAAGCCCCACATCTTTCCTTTTTAAAGAAAATTTTTTAAAAAGATAACCCCAGAAGGCATCATTGCCAAGAAGGTCGCTGGTTCGCGTCCCGATGAGGACACCCGGAATCTTTCTGTGTGGAGTCTCCATGTTCTCCCCGTGCAGCGTGGGTTCTCTCCGGGTTCTCCAGCTTCCTCCCACAGTCCAGAAACATGCTGAGGTTAATTGGTGATTGTAAATTGTCCGTAGGTGTGAATGTGAGTGTGCTTGGTTGTCTGTCTCTAAGTGTAGCCCTGTGATAGACTGGTGACCTGTCCAGGTGAACCTGCCTTCACCCTGAGTCAGCTGGGATAGACTCCAGCCCCCCATGACCCTAGTGAGGGTTAAGGTGTAGAGATGATGGATGGATGTCCCCAGGTCTCTTGTTTTTCTCCAATCATACATTATAGCCTCTGACAATAATCACATAGAATATTTCGCCTCAGAGCCCCTCGTGTATGATAAAACTGTTTTATGTTAAACAGGCTTTTGTTTGCACACTGAACAAAGTCTCCTTCCACGTTTCAGCACCGACGCTGGTCCCTGAACATCACACGGAGCACAAAACACACAGAATCTAGTCATCAGGAGGTGAACACACGACATACTGTTCATGCAAGTTGAGTTTTGCCTCATTTGCTTTGCTTACTGTGATGAAATAAAGTCAGATTAAGGAGTTACCAATAATTAATATCTTATGTGTCAAACTCAAGAATCCATGAGAGATGTGTGTTTCCTAATCTGATAAATTAATATAATGTTATAATTTGTGTTATAATAACAGCAACGTGCCGACATGTATTTTACTTTAGGTAAAGGCATGCACGATGTTTGTATGAGAATAGATAATAATCAAATGCCCAGACAACTACTGAACAATATATTATATTTATACAGCCTGACAGTTACAACCGACCTGTTGAGGGCAAACATGATGCTTATGAAGATGAGTTCTGACAAAGCTGAAGTGTAGTTTGCTGCTTCCAGCTGTTTGCAGAAGTTTTCCCTCTGAGTTTATGAAACACCTGCAGGATCCATCATTTCTGTAGTCACTTACTTCCTCTTGTTTTTTTTCTTTGAATCAGTGTTTTAGGACTATGATGAAACTTTTTACCCTCACTCGCACTTGCATCTCTGCTCCTGAGCTTTCAAATGAAAATGAGTATTTATAACCGATAAGACATATCAGTCTCACTCCAACCCGGTCGAGCTCAGAGGCTCTCCAGTGTTTTTGTCACAGGACACACCTTGGCTGATAATTATAGCCGTAAATCATCATGAGCACAAACCACACAGACGAACACTGTTCCAACCATTCCGTTTCTCACCCTGATATTAATGTGTAACGTTGACCAAGCACAGAAATAAAGAGGGATGACTTTCCTTTCAGAACACAGAGTCCCAGTTATCAGGTTAAGATCTGAAGGCCTCTGGGCTGGGCCACGAACCCAGAACTAGGCCTCTGGGCTGGGCCACGAACCCAGAACTAGGCCTCTGACAAACAGACAGTATTCTCATGGTCACTGAGGACACATTCATAAAAAGTTTATCCAGCTGTTGATGTTTTAAGTATGTAAACATAAAGACATAATCATGGAAAGACCATGTGTTTGGTTGTTGTTGTTTCTCAGGATTCCTTTGTTAGGGCAGAAAACGGCTCTAAAAAGTCACTGTAGCAGTTTAGTACCAACTAATCATTTCATTTGTAACCATTCTGACAAATGTTAAGTTAAAAAAAAGTATTTCCCACAAACTACACCGCGTTTAATTAAAAGTACAAAAAGTGAAAAGTTGTGCACTTTATGTTTTGGGTTGGTCCTGATGACGTCAATTACCGTAACACATCGGAAGCGCCGTCAGGCCGCATCGCCGCTTTCTGTCTGTTACATAGTCATCCGCCGGCCACTCGTTCAAGCATCAAATAGGGCCGTCTTTGTCAAAGGAAAACCGAGTTTTTCCCACTTTTAGCTCATACAGAGCATTGAAATCCGCTCGCGGCATTTAACGGAGACGTCGGTGTCAATTTCCCGCCGCGTTGTGTCCGCGTCGAGTCCATCGTGTCGTGAATAGCCGAAGTCGAAACCCTCGCGGCGGATGAATACATCGAACTTCCTCCTGCGATATAAACCGGGCCTTGTTGCTACATTACCGGCATTTCAGCGCTGCCGGTCGGATTTTTTAGTCGGCAGTGAAGCCACGTTGTATTTATCTTTTTTTTATTTATACCGTTTGTTTACAATATGCCTGGATATTCCGACAGAGATCGCGGCAGGGATAGAGACAGAGACAGAGGGTAAGTACTTTTTCTTTCTTACGCGGTAAAGGATTTTTTTCTCTCTCTCGCTCCTGTGAGCTGTAAAAAATGGCCGACGAGATTTAAAACCGAGAAAATAAGCCGGTAACCGAAATATCATGGAGGGATTCGATAGAGGAAAACGTCTAGCGTTAGTTTAGTTTTAACCGAAGAAAGTGGGAGTTAAAAACGTGGCCGTTAGCCGGTGTTATTTATCCACCGCAAGGCCCCGGCCGGTAAATTGAGCCCGTTGTCAAGGCCTTGTCCGGCCTCGTGCCCCCGCACAACGGCTCTATGGTTAGCTTCGGGGTAACGTTAGCGACACCGGCGGTACGTTTCCCCCGCTGGAGATTATTAATTACAACATTTACCGCATTTATATTGTTTGACTGGGTTGTTTCATACACTTCTGTCATCGTGTAACTATTCCCCCCCGTGGGTATTTACTTTCTGGTTAATGCGGTTAGTGATGCTAATACAGCTGGCTAGTCGGCTTTTCGCCATGTGGCAGCTTGAATGCGGATACAAAATGCCGGCTGTTTTTTCCATTGTTCCTCTGCTGGCTGGAAAGTATATGGCAGCTATACATTTTCACGGAATGACGCAGTTAGAGACGGCACTCCGGTGGCGCTAAACGGTCGCTCTCGGTGTCCGAAGTGACCGAGCTCGCTGTGACTTTGAGAAAATTAATGACTTTAATGAATTGCAGCTATGGCGGCGGCCCACCTCGGTTTGGTGGAAACCGCGGCGGCGGTGGAGGAAAGTTCGGCAACCCCGGTGACCGGCTGCGGAAAAAACACTGGAACCTGGACGAGCTCCCAAAGTTTGAGAAAAACTTCTACCAGCAGCATCCCGACGTCGCCCGGAGGTCCGTGGTATGTACGAACTGTTACGTAACCCTCAAACACATGTGTTCCCTCCTGCACGTGTTGCACTTACGCAATGGGTTCTGACCGCTGAACGCAATGTTCTTCAATCACTGTCTTGCAGCAAGAAGTCGAGCAGTACAGAAGGGCCAAAACGATTACAGTGAAGGGGCGAGAGTGCCCAAATCCAATTGCAAAGTTCCATGAAGCCAGCTTCCCATGTAAGTTTAAAACAACCAATAAAACAGAATCACAGAGGGGAGTTAAGTGCATCCCAATTAAATGTTTCCCCCCCTTTTCCCCTCCAGCTTATGTGATGGATGTGATCAACAAAATGAACTGGACCGAACCAACACCCATCCAGGCTCAGGGCTGGCCTCTGGCTCTTAGTGGCCAGGATATGGTCGGCATTGCACAGACTGGTTCTGGCAAAACGCTTTCCGTAAGTTTGTTTTATTGCGCATTAGCTGCAGCATTTATCTGTGTTATGTTGCACGACTACTGCTCTGCTTGTTTCACTTATTTAAGTTGTGTTTGCTTACAGTATCTGCTGCCTGCCATCGTGCATATCAACCACCAGCCTTTCTTGGAACGTGGAGACGGTCCAATTGTAAGTAGTCATCATCGCTCACTGTTGCATTGGGTTACCTGCTGTTTATCTGAGAGGTTTTAGTACAGTATGGCCCACATTTTCAGGATTAATTCTTTGACTCACTGCAGTCGGTGTTGTGAAGTTGAAATGTAGCCAGAACAGCGTGTCTTGGAAGAGGTCATGACAATTGAATGTGTCGCTGCCCGTCTATTGTCTGAAAACCTGTTTTTATCCTCCTGACAGTGTTTAGTGCTCGCCCCAACCCGTGAGCTGGCACAGCAGGTGCAACAGGTGGCTGCGGAATACGGCAGAGCTTCTCGCCTCAAGTCCACTTGTATCTACGGAGGAGCACCTAAGGGACCTCAGATCCGTGACTTGGAAAGAGGTATTGTAGGATTTTCTTTTCGGGTCCAGCACTTAAAGAAGTGTGGTTTAAAGAGTTGAGTTCTCACTATTTCTTCTTTTCCAGGTGTGGAGATCTGCATCGCCACTCCAGGCAGACTCATCGACTTCCTCGAGGCGGGAAAGACGAACCTTCGCCGATGCACTTACCTGGTGCTGGATGAGGCCGACAGAATGCTGGACATGGGCTTTGAGCCACAGATCCGGAAAATTGTCGACCAGATTAGAGTAAGTTTCTCTATTTACACGAGT